TTTTACGGATTCGGGCAAAAAGGAAAAAGGGTCCCCCCCCCCCCCCCCCCCCCTCGTTATACGAATCGACGCTTGATTGACGGCCAATAGTACCCTTTGAAGAAAATGGTGACGATCGCTCTTTTTCGAAGGTTGGCAAACACAGCAGCATATTCATAGGTATTCGAGTTTTCTTCTCCGCCCCCCCCCCTCCCCCCGGTAACGGCCCGCGCTCCGCGTGCGGTCCCCGATGTACTCACTCACGTTTTCAGTTTCCTTCGCTTTGGAAGAAGAGTGTTGCTACTCCGCACGACCCTCTTTGAGGACGCCTAATTTGTCTTGATAGAGTGGTGCTACGAGATTGGGTACAATAGCAGCAGCAGCGGATCATTCCATAAGTACGCCAGTGTGCCACGGACACCGGGATTGCTGAAAAATCATTCACTATATGTGTGCTGTGTGTAAATAGCCATGGTATAGCTTGTACGCCGCGCTTTCTTTTCGTTTCCATCTCTCGTGATCTCTCCCCCAACGCCGCCGCCGCCGCCGCCACCCGTCGGTGTCGTCGGCGGCCCGCGGGGGGGCGTGATTTGATGAGAACGTGAAGCTTGCAAACTAGCTTTCGGTACAATTCCCGACCAAACCAGGAGCAACGACGCTTTCGAGAGGTTCAATTCAGCAGGGTTTTGTACTTTCACGAAACCCCAACCAGACGAGTGAAAGAACACAAGAGGGCATGACGCTTTTTACCAACAACATCCGAGTCGAAGACGATAGGAGTCCACTACGACCGTCGTCGTGGACACAGGCCGCCTGGAGTCGGACGTTCTTCGTGAAAATCGGCTTGCCCCTTGTTTCTTTTTCCTCTCGTTGCTCTTTCTTTCGTGGAAGTACAACATCCTGACATTTTTTCTCGAAAGCGTCGTCTTTCTGTGTGTGTATGTCTTGCCGTCGGAATTTATGACGCTGCTTGTCGTTTTCTGCCCATTCCGCACATGCCCTTCGGTTCCATGCCTACCACGCGCCGAGTGTTGTGTGTTGCTCGATTCCGGGTGCTTGCAAACGGTTGCCGGTGGCAAGAAATTTCTTGCTCCTAAACTGTCACCACTCCACCTAGCCATACAAACCACGTCAGATGCGATTCACGGCGGGCCCAACACAAGTAATAGGTCTCCTTGTACAGTCCATCGCAAAATCTTGTAGCGAAAATCACCATGTCACCCCCCCCCCCACCCCCCCGAAGGCAGACGTTGGGAACGTAGAACTAGAAAAGGAGTTCACTGAGGAAGAAGTTGAGGCGTTTGTGAACAAGCTGCAGTACCACAAAGCAGCAGGGGCGGATGGGATAGTCAACGAGTTCATGAAGTTTGGGGGGAAGGGATGATCCAGCTGATGGTACTGCTGTACAACTGGGTGTGGAAAAACGAGTATGCGCCAAGTAGATGGAGGGAAAGAGTGGTTGTGAACTTGTTTAAGAAAGGAGACAGGACTGACCCAGGAAACTACAGGGGTATCACACTGTTGAACACAGTAGGAAAAGTGTTTTGTAAGCTGCTGAACCATAGGATAGTGGGAGTATTGGAGAAGGAACGTAGCATTAGTGAGGGCCAGGCAGGTTCCGACAGAAGAGGGGGTGCGTAGACCACGCATTCACGGTAGGGAGAATCATCCAAGGTAGAAAGAGGGCGGGAGAGCCGACGTACTGCTTCTTCCTGGACGTGAAAAAGGCACACGATACCGTATGGAGAAATGTGCTGTGGAAACAGTTGTCCAAGTACGGGATCAAGGGGAAAATGTGGAGAGTGCTGAAGAAGATGACAGAGTGTACGAAAAGCGCGGCCATGTTAGACGGAGAAATGTCTAATTTCTTCGACATTGAGCAGGGGGTCCCACAAGGTGGCACGCTGTCCCCAACATTGTTCCAGGTGTTCATCAACGATCTGTTGGAAGTCGTAGAGGCAGTCCGGAAGGGAGTAAAAGTAGGGGACACGGAAACTTCGGTGTCAGGAATGATGTTTGCGGATGATTTTGTTGGTATGTCGGACACCCCTGAGGGACTGCAACTACAAATTGATGCGGCGAAGAAGTTTACTGATAAATGAAGATTGTCTGCCAACATTAACGAAGAGTGCCGTCATGGTGTGCAACGAGGTCAGGGAGGAACCAGTAGAACATAGATGGGAGTGGGGGATCGAGGAGATTGCAGTAGTGGACCAGTACACATACCTCGGAGTAGAGATCGCGAAAGACTGCTCGTGGAATGCACACATGTCCAAGGTAGCGGAAAAGGGCAAAGCACGAGCAGGGAAGCTGCACCCAATACTCGCAAACCGGCACCTCGATACACGCATCAAAGTGGCGGTTTTGAAGAGCGTAATCGTACCGCCGCTAGAGTACGCCGGAGAAGTATGGGAAGGGAATAAGAAGGTAGTGAAAGAACTCGAGGCGGCGCAGATGAAAGCAGCGAAAATCATCCTAGGATGCTCCAAGCGCACAAGTAATGCAGCCGTCAGGGCAGAATTGGGGATCCAATCCCTACGGTCGGGAAGAGACGCAAGGAAGCTGACATGGCAGTATCGCATGTGCGGGATGGGAGAGGAGAGGTTGCCGAGAATAGTATGGGAGGCGAAGTGGGCAAACAAAAAGAGGGGTAGACAACCCACGGAATGGGTCAAGGTTGTAGAGGACGTATGGAAGGGGTTAGACATCGACGAAGATGAAACGCTGGAAACGGAGGGTCTGCAAGGGTTCAAGGAGAAGATACCTGTTGCTTGTGCCGAGAGAGAAGAACAGAATGCAAGGAAAGAAACCGAGGATAAGGAGGGTCTAGAAGTGTACGGAATGTTGAAAGAAGGAATAGGGTTCAAGGATTACCTACATGGACCAATGGATGCAGGGACAAAGCTTAAGGTCAAATTGAGGACCGGGGACATAGGCCTTCGCGAACGTCGACGAAGACATAGGACGGTAGACGACGAAGACGACAAGTTCAAATGTGATTGCGGCTTCGAATGCGAAGACCGTGTTCATGTAGTCGCGGAATGTCCGTGGTACGAAGAGGAGAGGTGTGTACATGACTGAGCTGGGAAAAATACAAGGGACGTACAGGGAGATGTTTGAGGCATGGAATAGAGAGGAGAGGACGGTAGCTGTACTGGGGAGTAGGAAGTGGTTTGAAAAGGCGGGAAGGGATATCGTTAGGGTTGACAGACTAGGGAAGACATTTTTGAGCCACCTTTGGCAAAGTAGGAAGGAACGATTGGCCATCGGTGATCGGTCCGGTGGGAGCAACGCCCCGTCCTCTCGAGGACGCGTGGTCAATGGTCTAACCGCTAAGGCATGCAAAACATAAGAGTACGCCTCCCCCCCCCCTTCCCCCC